CTCATTACTCATAAGCAATGGGTTTCATGTTATTATGTTGCACGGTTTGCTCATGTTACCTTGCTGGAACCAATAGGCTAATTTGTTACACTGGTTGTAGCTCTTGCCATCAAATATCGCGATAGGTCATTAACAGCAAATAGCACCTTATACACATTATTTTTGAATCTAAAACATTATTGTTGAATCCAAAGCATATATTTTGAATGAAAAATATGTCTTCAAAATGCTTACTTACACTTAGAGAAGGTACATTTTTCTTCTTAAGCCAGCTCAGTGTTCTAGAGGCACTATCAAAATGAATGAAATGACAAAAAAACGAACATGTCTGTAATTTAACTTCTATCCTGAGGTAAAAGTGTCAACAAAAACTACATTTTTAGCACATTACTTAATATTGAAATCCGTCACATCATTTTAGGCTTATTGGTTGACTGTTAAAATAGGACAGTTAGTCATAAGCAACACCTTACATGATAAGAACAAAGCTGAGCTAGCTACATGTGCTAACTATTTCTGAAAACACATTTAAGCTATTGAATAAAAATGTCTCCAAAATAGTCTGGTGGGAATGCTTATAGCCGATAAAGTAAACATTTTCTTTTGATATTTCTCACCTTAAGCCTGCTCAGTGCTGTAGACGTCTTAAGAAAATGAGAAAAAAATTAACAGGTCTATAATTTATCTTCAATTTAGAGGTAATTGTGTCAACAAAACCTACAATTTTAGTCTATTACTTCAGCTAAAATCGAAATTTGTCACACTATTTCAAGCATAGGCTTGTATGGGCTACTAACTGAGAATCCGTTGTAGTTGGTTGTTACCAAGCAACACCTTACTTCACAACCAAAGTACGCTACTAAGTTACCTGCTATTTAAGCTAGCTATGGAGTTAATGTGCTCACTATCTATACATTTGACGTCTTGTCATTAATTCTTGGTATTCTTGAGTGATTGTTAAAGGTTATAATATAATCACAAATCATCTCAGAGACATGTCAACCTGCCAGTGTTTATTACAACCATAACAGGAAGACGGCAGGTAGCTATCACCTGTACCAAATAGGCTACATACAACAGAAAATGTCCTTTAAATTCAGAGATGCTAGGACAGCCAGAGGTCCAGAAAGTCATGAAAGCTAAGACTTGTAAAATGCAGTCTGACATACTTACTCACTTGACTCCATAACTATCTTTTCTTAAACATAAATATGCCCCAAATTAGCTCATTAGATTGACACTGTTTATTTGCATAGGCCTATATAGGCTAGTTGATTGTTAACAAAAGAAAAAAAATTGAGCATTAAAAAATAGAAAATCTGAAAATTTAAATTTTGTTTCAATATTGAATAGGCACTATAAATTATTTTGCCAGCTTTATCAATTTTATTAATTTAGCTACTGTAAATACAACAAGCCCAGCAAATTATTAGAAACGTATTAGCATTTTCATTATTTTATTTTATTTTATTCTATTTTATTTTATTTTACTATCGATCATGTCCTGTCTTTCAGCTCCTGCCCCCTTTATAAAAAATGTAGGCCTACCGATGTAAATTCCAGTGAAATGTGGCTTGAGTGGCTGCGGGGACAGGGGAGGTTAATCCGAGTTTAATGCAGTGAAGCACAGCGCAGGGTCTGGGCTATGATGGGTATGTTATCTCTGCCCAACATTTGGGTCTCCCTCAATTTCCACCCAGCCAAATAGCTGCGAGAAAGTGCAGATGGAGTCACTCTCAATGCCTGAGGAAAAAACGTTATTAATAGCTAAATAACTTCCCCATACTTTCACTGAATCTCTCTCACACACTGTTCCAGATGGATTTGTTTGAAGTGGTCTCTCGCTTCATTCCCCTGTCCTTCTCATTCAGCACGGCTTTAGACCCGAAATATAGCTACATTATATTACCATACACTTAGAGACTGGGTGTGTGTGCACGAAAGTGTGCGTGTGTTAGTGTGTGCGTCCGTGCGTAAGTGCCCGCATGTGTGTTTGTGACGTTGAAAATCACGGAGGGGGCAGCTTTTCACACTTTTCATCACTGGGGGCCTAGTTTATCGTTAATAATAGCAGAAATTATTCGTTTTGTGTTTTTTTTTGTTTCTGCAGAAAAACAAGAGTGTACCTGTGAGTGGAGCATAAATCTGAAAAAAGTCATTTTTGCATAATTGCTTAATGTATAACGTAAATTTACAAATCTTTTCAGGTATTTTACAGCACAGACTGAGACAGAAATGGGTGGAAAAGATTATCTAGAGACAATAACGCTTTCCAAATATGTTAGAAACAAAGTTTAGGTTACAAATGTAGCATCTCATAGCCTATTAACTGCAGCCTCCTCCCCCTTCCCTCCTAACCTGGATCTTTAGGTTGTCTGACTTCCTCACACCTCTCCGCCGGTCTGTCACTTTCCCTCCCTGATGCTAGGATATAATCCCACGTGGCATCTGTTTAATTAGATTGAGGACCTCAGGTAATCCCGCGATTTGCTGAAGTGTCCATCGCCTGTCTCCACCTCATCTGACGGTCAGATTGGATGCATCAGTGTGGCAGATGGACGCCGGACAGCTGATCTTTCTCTCTCTCTCTCTCTTTCGTCTCTCTTTGACCGGTGTGGCGCTAAACAGGATGCCCAAGTTTGCGCAGATGTAGTGCAACCTTTCCCTCATTTCTTGCGCGTAATCTAACTTTGGCACCATGGATGGGAAACTTGTTTCTGCGCAAACAGATTGGTGGGAGGACCGGGATCTCCGCTTGGTAATCACCAGACGGCAAAAATAGTTATCAGAATGAAAAAAATCCCATAAAGTGGAACTATTGTCGGTACATTAAAACTGAGTTTTGATTGGTTTACCTTCCCCTACATCCTTCTGAGAAATAACAGTCGACTCCATGCAGCAAAATAAAATTTACAAATATTGTAATATGGTTAACAGTTTAAATACACGTTCAATAAAGCTAGATTAGAGCTGGGATAAATCCGTGATGTAACCTCTGAGCAAATCAAATACACAGACCTAATAAACAAATAGATAAATAAATAAAGTCTTAAAATCTGGATAAGTAAACGAAAAAAAAAATCTCATGAATTTTGTGCCCAGGGCGAGCCACTGTGAGCTCCGCTCTGAGATGAAAGTGAAAAGAAATAAAAGGCTCTATTTAATCTGCTTTAAAACCCCTCTCCACATAAGGGCTGTGCTTCAAACTCGGAGAGTGAGGGGCTGATTGGGGATAAATACATTTCTTACCATGCCTGCGAGCTATTACACCCGGCACGAACACAGCCACCTATTCAGCAACCATCGTTTCCAGTGCTTACTCTAATAAGTATTAACATTATTAAATGCCATCCGGATGCCGGTAGTCTAAACTGCATTACGCAGAGGGGTGCGTCTCTTTTTATAGCAACGTAATTCAGTCCCAATTTAAAACATAAGCAGCGCTAAGAAAAAAAAAAACAGAAGCAAGAACATTATGTGGATATTTTGAACCAACAGTAGAAAGTCAATAATAATGCATTGGTAACGTAGTTAACACTCTAAAAGTCAAACTAGCACATTATCCAGCAAACGTGTCCTCATGCAGCGCGAGCTGTGGGTAATGGACAGACTCTCCAAAAAATGCTGGTCATTTGCAGCCAGAAGGATTCACAATCCATCTATATGAACACTGGAGATATTTGCAACAAAATGGTGACATTTTTCTCGTAACATTAATGCGTGGTGTGACAGAAAAAAAGAGACCGTTTTCACGCTATCAACTGATTCTTTTCCAACGCTATTATATAAAATTACAAAACTATCTACCAGCGGGGCGTACTGAATAATTCATCTCCTTTTATGTCTCTCCTTGCCCTTTGTCCAAAGTTTTCTCTCTCTTTTACCCGATGTTTGAATGAGAATGGACGGGCCCATACTCTCCTTTTCGCTGCCCTGCTTTCCAGGATTTGCTTTTGTACCTCGGACTCTTCACTTTAGAAAAGCGTCAATAGAGGGGAGGTTTTGCTCGTGAAGTCCATCTTCAAGTTTGAAAAATCTTTGGCAGTGTCTTTTTTTTAGGAAAAAAAAGGGGGAAGGAGGAGGAGGATGGGGGGGTGTCTTTTCTAAACTCTTATCTAAACCCCATTCACACATGTTTGATCATCAAAAGGGCCAACCATTATATCGTTGGGAGGATGCGCATTTTCACTCCCCATGACCAAGAAAACCAGTAAAACTCTAAACTTAATAAAATATGACAATAAAATCAAGAGTTTGTCTTGTAAAATGTCAAACAACTCCACTTCTACTCATGTCAAAGAACTTCAAGTATCAAGAAAACCTTCACATTTTCTAATTTAGCGTCTAATTGCAAGTGATGGTGTTATATTACGGTTATATTTAAATATAGCCTATACAATATGCCACAGAAATATGAAACCCACATGATATACCAATGCATTTTTAAGGCTATTAAAAGCTTGTAAATTCTATTGACAAATACTGACAGCGAATACCTGCATCAAAGCTTTATTTTTCCCTCCTCGCAGCATTACTAATAGAGCAAATAATAATATGAACATTGATTTCCTCTTTAACTGACAAGTGGTGAAATGTCAGTGAACTGACATCGATTGTGAAATGGGTCAACTGTCAGCTGTCGTTTAGAGGTCGTTAAATGAGTGAATGAATGAGGAGGAATTCGCTACACAAATTAATTTTCTGCAGTTAAATACCTTCTGCCAAGGCTCTCATAAATAATTGAGTAAATGAACAACTGCTGGCTCGGAGTTAAAAGCAGGAATAAATTCTCTGTTTAGCTGCAGCTCGGATGTGGGACAATTTCCCAAGAGGACGTAGAGTAGGAAGTCTGTTTAAAACACTTGCTTCCTGCTTACAAGGCTGCAATTTACTCTGACTAGTAATAATAATAATAATAATAATTATTGTAATAATCATAATAATAATTTATTACTTCAGACATATACAAAAGGGCCATATACTTTCTGCTGTTAACTTACATTTATCACCGAGGATGCCATCGATGCTATGCTTTGTTTTCTTTTCTCCATCTTCATCCTTCTTATCACAGTCATCCTCGTCATCTTTTTTGCCAAATCGGGCCCTCAAAACGCGGCTGATGGAGCTCACTAATGGCAACAAAAAGGTAAATGGGTGATTAGCCCTAAAACCCATAAAAGAACCATAATAATCCTATCATACATTTTTTTTCTTTTTTTTCTTTTCTTTTTATATATAAAAAAAGGAAACCATACAAAAATAGCACAGGTAAAGTTTTACATGAACCAGCTGCGTTGAGAAAATGTTTCAAATAAAAGTCTATAATAAAAGGAGCAAAATTACACTAAAAATACAATAATATAAATTCACTAGTGAGGACCAAAGGCACATTTTCCCAACAGGATGACTGTTTTTTCTGGGTCAGTCAGCTGTAGGTGTGCTTCCTGCCACACTGAAACATTTTATTATCAGTAACTGGGGCTTAAAACAGGTTGGATTCAAAGTGATGTTCATTCAGAGGTGATGCTGCAGTGTTCGCTGGTAATAAGGGAAAAAAAAAGTGCAGCTTACCAGATGAAGCCTCACCTGAAGGAACTGTGCTTCTGTCGCACACCCCGTCCTTCAGCAGCTTATCCCGGATCTCCCAGCTGAACATACCCGGGTTTTCTCTCTTGTACTCCTCGATCCGCTTCTCCACGTCAGGAGTTGCCACCTGCTTTAGGTTTGAAATGGTGTGAATGGGAAGGAAAAAGACAAAAGGGGCGGAAAAGGGAAATTTTGGAAAGTTTTAATTGAGAGAAATATATATTTTTAAATGAACACATGCACCAGTTACAAGATATCAATAGAAAACAAATAGGGCCTATAAATAATATACAAAACTATAGGTTATATTGTGTAGCCTATAATTTTAATGGCAGTATTATAGGCCAGCGACTTTACTGCATAGACAAGACAAAGAAATAGGCCAACTATTAACAGGTTTTAACGGCACTATAAACTAAATATTTAACACCAGTGAAAAACTATGTTCCCTCATGTACTATAATGTATGTAATAACAAATATCCTTTAATGGAAATTGATAAAATATAACCATTATTCAGAATTAAATGCTCTAGATACTGTTCAACAAATAACTATAAACACCATGTAAAAATTAATATCATAAGAACAGACTTCTCACTTTTTATGGTAAATGCTTTCTTTTCCTTTTGATCAATAATGTAAAATATTAGATATTTATGCAAATATTTGGGGAAAATAAAACATCAGCTCTGAAGTTTGTTATGACCAGTACAGAAAAGATGTTACAGGTGTACATGTAACTAAAATTGTAGGAGACAAAAGACTGGTTATAGCCGAAAAAGCACATTATTATTATTATTATTATTATTATTATTATTTTATTATTGTTGTTATTGTTATTGTTATTATTACTATTATTAGTATTATTATTATTCTTGTCGTTGTTGTTGTTCAGACATACAGAGACTTCTAAACAGAGTGAGTCAAACATATTTTTATTGTCTTTATCTTTGCCCTCTATCAGGCGGCTTTGGTAACACAGTAACATCAGATCTGGGCTCACTCAGGTGTCATGCCCTCTGCACCACCCAACATGACGCCCATCCTCGCGCTCCTGTGACCCAAAGACTCGGTCACGGACTTCCACTCACCCTGGGTTTGCTGCCTCCTATGGCCCCCGGACGGATCGAGCCGGTCTCTTGGTACCGGCACAGGATCTTGGAGACACAACCGTGAGAAACTCGCAGTTGTCGCGAGATTACGCAGGGTCGGATGCCGTGGTGGGCCATCTCCACTATCTTGTGTCGGATGTGATTTGGCAGGGGCCTCCCGTTGATGAACACTCCGCCAAGCTGGTTCACCCTACCCTGGCCCAGAGGGGTGGACACTGCGCCACAATAAACAATAAAAGTCTCAAAAACAATCAAAACAACCACACATCATGTGCTCCAAAGCTTTCAAATGTTCATTTCTAAGTAGATGAAGCTACAATTTAGACTGAGGTGTGTCAATCAGCGGCATGTTTTGCCATGTTGCTGACTATTTATGGGACGTAGTTTACGCACATTATCATATTCTACATTTTCAAGAGAGCGTTGAGCCAAATTCATCCAGCATCAGTCTGGCTGACAGGATGTATCCGAGGCCACTTCAGGATCCAATTTCACATTCAAGAGACACTAAACAGGGTGACACTTCCCACCTTGATTATTCCTAGTCATGCTGTACAAATATTGATGTGATCCTTTGAGCCATCTCTTTGCTGTGTGTATTATTGCCATTTCCAGCAGCAGGACACTTGAACAAATCCCGGAGCTCGAGTAACTTGCGAGCTACGTGGTTTTTGTACATTTCAGTCCAGGGCACTTGAGCACGAACTGGGTGTAATGGGAAAACTGTTTCCATAAATGCATGCAAATACAAAGTGATCTTTTTTCCGCCCATATGTTCCCATATACTTGAGTGTGATGGGCATACGAGTTTTAAAAAAATTACCAATTAAATTACTTTTGTGCGTGTGTGTGTGTGTGTGTGTGTGTGTGTGTGTGTGTGTGTGTGTGTGTGTGTGTAACAAGCGAGGTTGGACTTGTAAAAATGCTCCATAAAATGTACTACAAAATGATTTATTATTCTGTCATCTAAATTATTATAAAGGTAAATTATTGTTAGATTAGCTTATTTTTTTGTATAGAGGATAATTTAAGATACAATAATTTCTAGCCATTGTATTATTAATGCAATTCAAATGTAATTTGAAAGTCAAAGCATTAAAAACATAAAAATAAATACATACATTAGAAAATAAAATAGGTATCAATACAAATATTTCATGTAGATACTGTAGCTATAATAAGCAGGAATTACTGACTGAGTCAAGACTCAAATTAAAATAAATTACTAATAAATTCATACTGAACTCATGAATGCTTAAATAAGATTATCAAGGTGAAACAAAACACATTATTAAAAAAGAAAGGAAAAAAAAAGCTGTGGGCTGATTCTCAACGCTCCAACCGCTGCTTTTCTGAAACTATCCTTCAGTTTTGATTCATTCGGGTTGTAAACTTTAATCAACACTGACTGGAGGTCGCAATTGTTCACCCTCCGTTTTATTTCCCAGCATGTCGCCGGTAACAAACTGTGTGTGACTATCACGCTACAAGCTGACAGAGCGGAGTCCTGATGAGTTCTGTCACAGCACAAGTCCAAACATCAAACACGCGCTGTCATTGTTTTGATTTTTTCTTACCTTCCAGAGGGAAGCCGGTTCGGGGGTAGTTCTGGCCTGGCGCAGGGCGCACCATCCGAGGCACTGTTCCTGGTAAAGTAGCCATCCTACAGCTACTCAGACAAACCAAACCGGACACTGTTGAAACCTGCTACTCTCACAAAGTCCAAGTCAAAGCCCGGGACGTCTTCGAAATGTTCAAAAAGAGGCTCTCTTTGCTGTCAAATCCCAATCCCAGGCGGAGAAACTGGACAAGCCCTTCTTCCACCGGGGAGAAAATAAAAGTGATGCTCTCCTCTGGTGCGTTGAATGTGCCAAAAATATTTTTTTAAAAATAAAGATAGCGACATATAAAATTAAAAAAAAAAACCCTTTGAGCAGGGAAGTCTGCAAAATGGAGGAGCTGCACCGAAAGTTGTGTGTCTGAATTGGAAAAATGCAGTGTTATTCTTTTCCCTTGGTGTAGTTTGTGTTCAGTATAATGTCTGCTGGCTGGTTGGAAGTAGTTTAAGTGGCCAACTTTCGTGCATGTCGTAGGAGGAGACAGCCGAGCGCTCCCATAGGCTCCCTGGCCTTTCTTTTATGGATGAAAGAGAGTGGGTTTAGCCAGGAGCCGACCGACCAATCAGAGACACACATTCCACTTTTAATTCACTGCTGCCTCCCTCATAAGACCCCATACACCAAACCCAGTTCAAAATGTTATTATATCTAAATGTTATTCTGAATCCTGTCTTTTCAAAATGTGTCTGTCTCCATGATACTCAGCTGATCAAACCTGTGGAATATCAATGCTTTTAAAATGATGATAGCTCCCTTTCTTTCTTTCTTTCTTTCTTTCTTTCTTTCTCAAATAACAAAACGAAAAAAAAAAAAACAACAACAACAACAACAACAATAACACAGCATTATGGCAACAATAGCAAAGCCAGAAATTAAAAAAAGAAGAAAAAACAACATAAAAAACATTATTGAAAGTTGATTAAAAATAGTTTATTGCAGGCACATATTTAGTTTCCGATCAAAATATAATATTTGGAAAAATATCTGAATTCATTGACCAAAATCATTACGTTTTCAATACAATTTCACGAGTCGAAACGTCTGTATCCAAAGTTACTCGTCCGTACACGAACGGGTGCACAAGCAGCGCTTCATGTGGATAAAAAAAAAAAAAAAAAAAAAAAAAAAAAAAAAATCACGGCCCAAAATGATTGAGTCAGGCATTTATGATGCTGTGTCTGAATGGACGAAGCTGCGCTGAAGCAGGTCTGCTTGGCGAAGGTTGGGCTATAAGATGCTTTTGGCTTGTTAACCTTTCAATTAAGTAAATGTGCGCAGCATGAACATCTAAATCGCTCCTATAGCTTTTTGTGGTAATTACAACATTCGGATCGACCCGGTATTGATGACAACAGGTTGACTTGCCCTGGAGAACACACAAGAGTAATTGCTTAAAGGTAATTGTTCAGAAAAAAAAAGATAATGCGCCACTATTAAACTCGAATAAAAAGAGCACATATGGCAGAAAAGAAGAGGTGCATGTGTCAACTCTGTAGGCCCACCGTGCATATAAAATTGTGTGACAATTGCCGTGGAAAACACTCCTGGTGGAAGGCAATTTCACAAATAATTTTAGCAACAATTAGGGAGTGTGGAGGGGTGAAATGGCGATTTCACATGCAGATGTGCCGGTGGGAAGGATCTGGTACCCTGCCGAATAGCTATGACCCTCACTCTCCCGCTTTGGTTTGCTTCACATGGGACAGAAAAGCACAAAGAGACCGCCTCACCCTCCTGGGAAGGCGCAAAGAGCACTGGATTAAGTCAAGCATCAATCATGTGAAATCCAAACAATAGCAAATATCTCTTATGGAAAGCACGTTCTTCTACAAATACTCCACCTTTCTGTTTCTCTCTGATGCTAACAGGTAGATTATGTTCTTTTATTTATTTATCTGTTTATTTTTAGAATCACACAGACACGCACATAAAGCTAATAATCCCATATCCTTGCAAATATCATTGGTTCACCACCACCAGGTCTTGCCTCTGTTATTCTAAACATTATTACCCTGGTATTCATTTGTTATGCAGCTGCTGATAATTACACCCAAAAGAAAAGAGTTTAGAGTGTGCAGGGAAATTTGCATCACTGACATTATTATGAATTTTAAGTGTGATGTTGTTTAGTTTGTTGTAATGTTTTTTGCAAACATAAACATGTATAACATAGTGATTTCTCACCTATAAGTCAATGCTTTGGGACTCAAATATGTCTTCTGCAGTATGGACTGTGTATCTGATTTGTTTTTGTTATTACAAGCTACTCTGCTGTTACACTTTTATCCAAATAAAAAGTTAACCAGGCCATTCTCTATATAATTCCCCCACTCTAAAACTTTACAATTTTTAAATTTAGGCTATTTAAGTTCCTTTTCAGACAGACGTGGAGGAGGTGGACAGAAGAGAAGAAAACACGCCGAACAACAACCCGACAACAAGAACTACTTTAGGGCTGAATGAAAACAGCCACAGACACAGAAAGAAACACTACAAGCTGAACAAAGGCAACATTTATTGCAGATCTTGAATTGCACTAAGACATTTTGTTTGAACTAATGATGTATTCAAAGATGTTTTGATTGGCTTAGAAACGGCAATGCCTGGTTACATTTACAGAAATCCAGGGATTAGAGGTGCTGTCAAAAAACAACAACAACAACAACAAAAAAAAAAACAGGTTATTACAGCTTTTATATCAAGAGTTTTCATAGTTTATTTGCCAATCTATCAAGTATAATTAGTCCTTTGGTAGCAAAAAAACTAAGGGTGTAACATTGTAGCAAAACAGTTGATTTAGATCTTTAAAAGCCTGTATTTGACCTGTGTTTTTATTTTTATTTATTTTTTGTTGGGATAAGAAGTTGCCATAAAGATGGTGGCACCATGTCCACTAGTGGGCGACCACTGCTTCACTATCAGTTGATTTATGTTTGAAAGGGCACAAAACCCACATTGTGCACCTTTCTGTGAGCTTTGTGCTGCTCCAAACAACAGTTTTCCAGACCTAATGTATGTATGAATGCATCATGTTTCTGTACTATCCGACCAAAACTAGCATCTGAATCACACTCGTCCTCGTCACACCCCTAACTGCATTTATCCTGGTTGTTTCTGCAGGGTTCAGCTCAGCGTCTGGCTCATGTAAGTAACTCTGTCACTTAAGTTTCCTCTCAGCTGCAGCAGACAGAAAAACACTTCCTCTCTCTCGTGATACTGTCTCCAATCTTATCTTGATCAGGGCCGCTCTTCAAACACTTTCCTACATAGCCTCTCATTATTTGTGTTATGGCAATTACCAAAGTTTCTTTTTTGCTTGTAGGTGAACCCCCCCCCCCCCCCCCCCCCCCCCCCCACACACACACACACACACACATACACACACACCCCTCTCCTATCTACATGTATTCTCTCTATACACAATGTTTCGCTGTTCACATTGAGAAGCACAAAAGAGAGAAAACACCTTTGTTGAGAGGCATTGCCAATTTATCCTTTATCTTTTCCTGAGCTGAACAAAGGCGAGAAATACAGGCATTAAGTGCATATAAACATTATTTTTATTTAAATCATAACAGTTCTTTTATCTTCCAGTAGGTGAGGGTGGAGTGTTGGATCCAAGCAAACAACACTCTTTGTCTTTAGTAAATGGTGTGCAGAATTTATTTAGATTATACATTTTTTTCATATCTGCAATACAGCAGATGTTACAAAAGCCAGTTTACTCTGAAAGATGCCAGTCAGAGATGATAAACCTCTGTTCTGCACTGTCTACATACAAGGAATAAACTCCATAAAATCAAAAAAGAATAACTAATAGTAAAAACTAATAGTACCCAAATACTACTAGTATTTGGGTACTATTAGTGCTAGTTTAAGCCCAAAACACAATAAAACATTCAGACAAATACGTTGTTTTCCAGTCCCTCCTGGCCTGCACTGTAAAAATAAAAGAAATTCACAAATCTAATTTGGTTGTTTCCTGAAGCTTTTTTCCCCATTTCATGGACATATTAATGCTGAAAGCAAGCTTTGTCTTTGTTGACAAGAAGGCAGATGTTTTTAGAAATAATCTTTTATCTGCGTGAGCACTCCATACGTGAATCATAAGCTGCTCCTCTCTCATGATGGCCGACCTCCCTTTCTATTGAAGTTGAAAGAACTGCATGCAAACATCTGTCGCCGTGTAATAAACAGTGGTCACTATGATGAACTGAAAGCTGCTCAGTGCATAAAACCAAAAATAAAAGAAACTGAACAATCGGCCATTTTTACCATCATCCTATGTCCATTCACAGTTTAGCTCCACTGCCAGGCTCTAAGCTCTGGAGACTGTTTCTATGATGCTGCGGCAAACCGCTTCAGCAGTGACAAAGTCTGCACTTCCACCACAGTGTTGTTAACTTGTTGAGACATTTTCACATCTGCTGAGAATTATCCAAATGTGTAATCACTTCCTTATGGGAATTATTTTATCACGATAGCGAGAGCGTATAAAAAGCTCTCTTAGGAGGATACTGGTGAAAAGTTTACTTTGTCTTGTACCTTTAATTAAAGAAAGCTGATGAGATATTCATCTCATTATGTGTGGCACAGGGAGGGGGCTCTGGACAGGCATGTAGGGTCTGACAAGGTGATGTTTGGTTAATAAGGAGAGCAAGGACGAAGGAATTCCTCACACTCATTTGGAACAAGTTAGCCTACGTGTGAACCTTGCCTGAACTCCCACTGTTCAGTCTCCACCTAGCTGGCTCTATTCAGTACATATAGGAAACACAGAGGTGTAATAAAACAAAGTCAGGCAAAGGCAAGACTTGAAAGGTTTGGAAATTTTAATAAATTGTAAAAAGAACGTCCAAGAAGGTCATTTCATATAACCATAAAGACTCTACAGTGTGTGGAACCATTTCAGTAGTGCAGACTCTTCTCGAAATGGTCAAGTAGCGGTTCCAAACCTAAGACCCAATGAATCTGAGGGGTCAAAAGTGGGGGGAAAAATCTGTTACCCAAAATAAATACTGGATACTTCATACATTTAAAAAT